GTCTCATTCTGACAATTCGGACCACGTCATCCTCCTTGACGACAGCCTTCTCATAGAAGATGGCTTAGCCTCACTTTAAGACTGCCTCTGGTTAGTGGGAGGTTTTGGTTCTCTGTAAGGGGTGTTCTGGCTCTGGTGGTTTTTCGTGTCATGCTCTCACTCTGTTTAATGCGTTCTACTTTTGTTCTCCAGGAGATTCAGATTCTGTGTTTGGGAAAAGTTCTGGTTCAGGTTCCTATCATTTTTTGCAGAGTGGTTCTCTGGTTCCTGTGCTGCTTTTTTGGAGGGAAGGGGGGGGTGGTTCTGGTTCTGTTTTTGGGAGTTTTAGTTTGCAGGACGGGGCAGTATACTTTAGAAGAGGTTCTAGGCCCTCTTAGGGGGACGTTCTGATTCCATTTAAAGCAGTTGCTGGTCTTGTTGTTTTTGGTCTCAGGTTCTTGCTTGACTTGGTCCACTTTACAACAGGTTCCGTTTCTGTTTCGTGCCAGGTTTGGATTCCGTAAGTGTGCATGTGTGAGTGATCTGGGTGCGCAACCAGTGAGCAGAGTGTGGAGGTCAGCAGTAAGGATCCCCCCCCCCACCCCCACCCTCCTTGGAGCTTCTTCTCACACACTCACAGTGTCTTTTATGTGACAACAAAGAGGAAGAAGAACCACTGGACCTGCCACTGGAGGTTGAGCGGGGCACAGAGCGGGTTTTGTGGAGTTGGTGGCGGGGTCCCATCCCATCCTGCATGTCCATGTGTCACGCGAGCAGCCCGCCGGTCTGTTTTCCATCACCGGCGTCGCCGCGTTATTACAACAGCGTCAGCAATGTGCCGAGCTCAGCGTTGGGATTTTTTTGGATGACGAGCTCGTCGCGAGAAGGAATGTGACACAGGCATTTGTTTGACGAGCGCGCGGCCTGGGCGACGCGGTCTGCGGTCGGACGCCCGACAACACTGGAAGCGTGTTTCCCCGCTCCGGGCCAACGTGGCTGGAAGCGGCCCCGGCGGTTAAGGTCAACCACGTCGCAGCCAAACGATGTCTTTCGCTCACACACACACTGCAAGCCCACACCTCAGTGTGCGTCTGAGGGATCTGCCACAGGGGGGGTGTCAATGAGGTCCCCTACTGGGCTGGTTTCTACGGTGACCTGAGAAAGGCCGTAAGTAGGTCCGGCCCTTTCTCAGGCCTAATCAGCGTATCCACCACTCCCTCCAACAGCATGGCTGGACACAGGCAGCCAATAAAACCCGGATTAGGAGGCTATCAACACACACTGAGCTGTAGCCACAAACTTTGTGAACATGCCTGCCCCCCCCCCCACTCCGCTGCCATCTTTCCGCTTTATTCGTTGCGTTTTTTTTGTTTTTTTTGGAGACCCCTTTGCTTCCTTTCAGCCCCGTAAGCTCCTCGCACAATAGACGCCGAGAAATGATTCATTTTGTCGGCAAACTCAGAATCGGGATTGGAATGGTCTTTATTGGCTGAGAATGTTAAAACACACAAGGAATTTGTCACTGGTGGTTGGAGTCACCAAGACACGATGGCAGAATTTACGTTTAGGACATACAATGGACATTTATCATTTACATTTATCATGACCCATTATCCAGACCCACTATGGGTGATATGGCAGATTATCACCCATAAAGGAAAACATAAAGGAAAACATATCCCAAAAAACATTTTAAAAATACACTCACCGGCCACTTTATTAGGGACTCATCTTGCCCATGCTTTGTCAATAAGGCTCACTTTTGAGATCTTCATTGACCAGTGTCTTTATTATTATGCTGCTTGTACGAGTGCAATGGGTCATCGGGTTCCGAATAGTTTGGGTTTGAAGTGTTCGAAACGGTGCACTTTTAAACCCGGTTGACAACAACAACGCGCTGAAAGAGCAACAGAGAAACAGAAACACGTGGTGATCGGCAGTAAAACAATACATCTGGGCCTGTATTATTTATCCTCTGCAAAGAGCGTCTAATATGGCTTACTGGGGGCGGGGGTGGTAAATGGAAGGTGTTAATACGATGTGTTTAATGGCAATGAAAAAGAAATATCCCTCAAGGCCCTTTTCAATGGAGTACCTAATGAAGTGTCCAGCAACACGGTCACTCAGTTAATCTTAATAATGTCCTTTTTCTTGGGGGGGTGGGGGGGGGGCCGTATTGGGCTTTTGTGGCATTCCTCTGTGACACGTCCTGGAAGTGTTTGGGTGGGGGATCATATCTATGCCTTTTGTCGGGATTCCCTTTTAAGAGGGGGGACAAAGAGGGGACAAGAACTCTTAGTCCAAAAGAAACCCTTTTCATGAGCGCAGCAAACACTCCAGTGTGTGTGTGTGTGTGTGTGTGTGTGTGTGTGTGTGTGTGTGTGTGTGTGTGTCCCAAAGGGACGGTGGGCCACTCTTGAGCCGGACACTGAGGCGTCCTAATTAAAGGCCACTTAAGCCCCACAAAGTGCGGCGGTGTGGGTTGTTATTGTTGATGGGGGGGGCTGGGGGGGGGCAGGGGCGGAGATAGAGAGCACTCATAAACAAGGAGGACCCAGGACAGCGGGACAGAAGGGGGCTACATGCCACAGACCCCCAAGCCCCTGAAACAGACACTTCTTTTATTGAAATTCTTTGCTGTTCTAATCCTCTGCTTCCTCCAGGCCCAAGAATGGACTCCCTGCATCATCAGCCTTTTCCAGCCCAGGCCGCTGTCACATCACAACCCGGCCCGGGTCACAAGTCCACCCCCTCGCCCACAGCCCCCAAGTCGTGCTGAGAGGAGGGGCCGCACACTGTTGGCCTTTTTCGGGTCAGTAACATTCGATATATCATCACTTTTGGGGCAGGGGACATGGTTCATAAGTGGAACATATTTTGGTTCATTTTCTGAAATGAAACTTACATTTTCATGATTGTAAAAACCCAAACAGTTTATGATCATGTTTACAAACAAACTTGTCAAATCATAAATGAAACATATACAAAAAAAAAAGATCTTTTAAAATATTTTTTTTCAGTGTTTGAAAATCTAGAAATGTGTAATTAATTTTCTGGAACAAACAAAAATTATTTTTTAATTTTCTTAAATGAAGTAAATGAAACATTTTTCTGAAAAGTAAAGCTATTTTTATGGATTTTCTGAAGCAAATATTGTTGTTGATTGGACTTTACAGCGGCCACTTTATTGTTAGTAATAGTTGTTAATTTAGTTTGAGGTACTCATCCGTTCGAATATGTTCAAGTTAAATTTCGTACACGTGCTGAGGGATTGAAACACGAAAAAAATAGTCACACGAAACGCATACTGAGTACTTCATCGCTCCAAAACTCCCAACAGCATTTGTGTGTTTGTGTCATTTGCACTGTTCAAAGTGGATGGTTGAAAGTGTGCTTAGGATGACATCTGCTGGTTAAATAGTCAGAACAACATTCAACCAATCAAATATATTTTTTAAATGCATTGAAGCCTAAAAGATATTGTGAAGAACATTTTAGAGTTTGAAATTGTGAGAAAACATCTCTCTATCTAGCTGTCTATCCATCCATCCCTGTGTGTGTGTGTGTGTGTGTTGCCTGAGGAGGCTCTGGTGAATCATTGTAATGTAAAAAACCAAACAACAACAATAAAAAACATTGTCCTAACTTGTGAGGTGTTGAATGTTTCACCGCCACACACGCACAAACAGCGCTCAGATGCGCGACGTCCAACGCCACCGCAGTGCCCGAGGCTCCGACCTGTTTGCCGGTGCAGGTGTCTCATGACATCGCATGCCAGCAGAACACAGTGGACCTTTGGCCTCGGGCTCTTGCGGGCCTGAATGAGTACGAGGGGCTTTTTTTATCTGGAATATGACACTGTTGATGTTTGATGTTGGAAGCAGACTATCACCCGTCACTCATCTTTTTTTTTTGGGGGGGGGGTGTTTTCTTTAATTTTGGCCCATGGCGAAGTCGTACTCGGCCTCCCTTTGTGTGCTCAGATCAAGCGTGAGCCTGCCATGAACACTTTTTTTTAAAACTTAATACAATGTAATGTACACAAACAATGGACTGGTTGACAGTCAATGTCAAGGCATATATAGATAGACTGATGGAACAGGACCGCAGCCAATCACAGGGAACCGAGAGTACCCGGAAACCCCACGGAGGAAGGGAAGAGCCCAGACCGGAACCCTTAGATTGTAGTAATGCCCATATTTATCCCATATGCATTAGTTATTGTGTAAGTCAAGTCAAGTCAGCTTTTATTGTCAAATATGCGCTATGTGTAACATACAGCATAGATGAAATCACTTTCCTGCAAAGATGTAGTGCATTGAACACACACAGCTGAAATTTACATAAAATTATACAAGACATAAATATATAAACGTTAAATAAAAATAAAATAAATACATTGAACACACACAGCTGAAATTTACATAAAATTACATAAATATATAAACATGTTAAATAAAAATAAAATAAATAAAAAAACATAAATGTAAGTGGCTGAATAAGAGCCATTGTGCACTTTGTATAGTGAAGTTCAGTTTCTTGAACTGAATTAGTTGATGGGCAAATCTTCCACATCCAATGTGGCGTTCACACTGACTTAGGATCAAGTCGCTAAATGAGGGGTCTTTGCAGATTTCTGCGCATATTTTGATTGGTTTGTGTGTTGACCACGTGACCCAAGCTAACCAATTATAGACGAGAGCGAATGGGTAGGCGGAACCTTCGAGGCTGAACTCTGACCACTGCGCGGGGGCGAGGAGAGATGACGTTGAGCCGCTAAACGGCGCCGTGTTGTCAGCTGCTGGGAAAAGACGACCGAAAAGAAGTGTTCGTGTGTGTGTTCTCGGTTGCTTCGTTTGCCTTTTTAAAGCCTTCGCTCTGGTCGCCGCCAAGATGCGAGCGGTCGTTCCGTAAGCGAGAGCCTCGCCGAGACCGACGCTGGGATAACGGGCCCCTCGAACCTACTCAGGTCGCTTTCGGAGCCATTTTTGTCTGGTTTGTGATAAGCCGTGTAGCCATTTTTAGCTAGCAGGTGACAAGTTAAGACACTCTGTTGTTTACTTCTGGTTTTCTATCCGGGTCATGGGTCGCCTGTTTAACTTTCGTATCATTACGTCAGCCACCTTAAATGCTTCCTTGTGATTGGCGGGTGTGACTAATTACTACTTTGGTTTTGGGAACACGCCCACCGCAGTAGTCATAAAAGTCAGAACTACAAAGGAAGGTATATAAATAATCCACCCACACACAATTTGTCTTATGTATTTTTAGCATTTGTAGTCAGACAATCGAGACAGGGCTGCGGATAACTGGTGAGCCTGTCTACCTTGCAATTGTGATTTGGAATTGTTTTTTTCCCTATTTACCTCTGCTTCTTTGTGTTTTCTCCTCAAATACTCCAGCAATCTAAAAACATTTAGCTTAATTGAAGATTAGTTTCAGCACAGTTTCCCTGTGAAACCTCAGGGAATACCCCGCTTGTCCAAATCAGATGGCTCCAGCTCACCCATGACCCAAATGAGGACAAGCTGCTTCATAAATGGATGACTGAAAATTCCCATTTCACTCCTTTAGCTGGCAGCCGGTGACACCGCCATGAACGTGGGTACGGCACACAGCGAGGTGAACCCCAACACACGCGTGATGAACAGCCGCGGCATGTGGCTGTCGTACATCCTGGGCATCGGCCTGCTGCACGTCATCCTGCTCAGCATCCCCTTTGCCAGCGTGCCCGTGGTGTGGACCCTCACCAACCTCATCCACAACCTGGTAGGCGCACATCGTCATTCATCCGTTGGCTTTCTTCATAACTGAGCACCCGCACTGACCGACACTGCTTGCACCAACAGCATGGCTCTCACTAGTGATGTCCAAGTTTACATAAGCAGTCGTTGTGAACTCGGCACCTTTCTTTTTTCTCCCACCGAGCGCTTTCAGCAAGGCACCTTCATTTATACGGCACATTTCATACACAAGGTGCTTCATTTGAAATGTCTTGAAATGTGGATTTTTGTGAAAAAAATGCAGTGCATGTACCTGCTCCTGCACACCGTCAAAGGGACGCCCTTTGAGACTCCTGACCAGGGCAAGGCTCGCCTCCTCACGCACTGGGAGCAGATGGACTACGGCGTGCAGTTCACCGCCTCACGCAAGTTCCTCACCATCACGCCTATCGTCTTGTAAGAAAAAAAGAAACGCAATTCAATCTTTACATTTTACATTTTCTTTAATTGTGTTATCGCTTTGTTTTGACGCAGTGCAGCAGTGTAGACTGCTAATTTTACTGATTAAAAGACATGTCACAAATACATTAGTGCCCTCGGATATGAGTGACATTTTTCTGGTCACACATCCGCAAGCAAATGAGAAATGTGCTTTCGCTGTTTGAAATTTCAGGACAAAATGGGCCGCAAATGTATTTCCGTCTGTCCGTCTTATACTGCCCCCATGTGGTCACGTTGAAAACGAGTGGCTTTTGCTGCACTTTCCACAAAATGCCGTTTTTCGGCAAGTGGAACATATTGTCATATACAAACATTTCATTTTCTTCTATTACATAGTTACTATATCTTATATTTGAGAGTGCTATTTTTGGGGGGCAACACCACGGTCACTCGATCGTTGATTGGTCTTGGCTGTGTGTTGCGCAGGTACATCCTCACCAGCTTTTACACCAAATACGACCGCGTGCACTTCGTGGTCAACACGGTATCGCTGCTCACCGTGCTCATTCCCAAGCTGCCACAGCTGCACGGCGTCCGCCTCTTCGGGATCAATAAGTACTGACCAGGGGAATGGGATGATTGGGGTGTGGGGGGGCGGGGGGTCCCTGCCATTTTTGCACGGGGACCCTGAAATGCCGTCACCCCAGAAGACACGCCTGCACAGAGGACAAAGCATGGAAATGTTTTTGGACTTTCAGACTGTAAAGCGTTCGGACGGGATTAGATGCTAGTGAGCATGTTAGTATACGTTTCTCATACGTTTTCTCCGACGAGCCAGGAGAAGTGGGGAGCCTCTCCACCCGCTAGTGCCAGAAGAGGAGCTTCCTAGCATGCATCAGTGTGTGTGGTCCGCAGCCACGGCCGCTCTGGTCGCATTTCATGTTGATATTTCATATTTATTATTATAATTATGATTGTTCTTGTTTGTTTTGGCGTACCCGCTGTCGCCATTAAAAGGGCTGAAATGGAAGATTTGTTTGATTTTAAGGGAAGTTGTTAGCTCGTGGTCACGTGATCTTGTGTATAAAACATACAGATAGATAGATATACAGTATTTTTCAAACTCATTCTTGTCAAGTGTGGTATTTGTGATCCATTTTCTGGAACGCTTTTCCTCATGAGTGACACGGACGATTTGGGCGAAGGATGGAATACGCCCACGCAGGCCGCCAGCCAATCACAGGTAAAATTTGTCTTGTAGAAACATTTGTCGTGGTTTCATTGTATGCGGAGAAGCTTCTTGGTTCATTTTAATGTCTGGCTTCTCATTTAGGGATTAAAAGCGGAGCACACCCTGGACTGGTCGCCATCCAGATTTGTCCCCATGCCCCGTCTTGAGGTATTTATTCTCTGTTGCATACTGTTAATGCTCACATGATAGCAGCTGCTCTGCCAAGATAGCAAAATGACATCCTGGGATATCAAATTATAGCATAGCACTCTGCAAAACCTCCTTTGTATTATCATATCATATACAATATCTAAGAGTAAAATATGAGGAAAACGTTTGTCTCGGAAGAATACAAATTCGTCCAACAGAGGGCAGCAAAGATTAGCCAGTGACAGTCATGTTTACCTTCGGGCAAACGTCAATATCGAATCTCTGTCGTCATTCATTTTCCATTGAGAACAAATGGAAGCGCAACGCTCAACCCGATCGGGAGGCAACAAATCAATTGTTCCTTTTGTTTCACCTTCAAGATGCGGTTTGTAATCGATCAACGCAAACTACCGAAGCGACTTTTATATCGACTCTTTATGGCACTGCATCGTGCATTGTCCCACACGGCCACCTCTATCATCATGAATTCAGATTATATGTGGCCGCGTACGTCGATAGCACATGAACATTGTATATGTATTTATATCCGTACGTAGCGCATTCTATGCATAGTGCATGTTTTGGCCTCTACCCGGCCTCCATTCTTCATGGCTCATGTCTTCATTGGAATTATTCATCAGTGATGACATGTCAGTGATGTAAGTGAATGTGCACGGCTCATAAATAATTGAGCGCTGAGATTTCCCAGGACACCGAACACACCATTGACCCGAAATCGCCCTCCAAGACTCTCTCTCCATTATTTCCGCCAACAAACCTCGGTTAAGCGTAGCATCTCCTTGATTTTGAAGCCTTTCTCACAAGCGAGATTTTGCCACTTCAGCGTACTGCATCGCTAGGCCTCCGCATCTAAGCCGACCTCTGAGGAAGGCCGCGCGTCCTCAAACGCTGCAGCACTCTTTGGCCGAGGTTCGCTTCCGCCCCGCTGCAGGGAATCAACATGCCGACCGCTCCCGATTCCTCCCAAAGGGATCGATGCGAGAAGATGGAGCGTCAGCAGCCCGGTGGGCCTCGCCTCAGCACTTTGCCCGAGGGCGAGGAGTCGCTCCAATGAGCCGCTTATCGATCAGCGCGAGAGGAAGCTCTTTCGTCTGGTTGCCCGTGATTGCGCCGTCAAGCAGCGGGATAACTTTTTCTGTTGTTTATTTGTAGCGTTCACTCAAACTGCCCCCCCCCCCAAAAAAAAAGAATGAATCCGCTTTTATTCCCTTCCAAAGCGCTTTCACTTTGCCAGGAAACTTGGCACGATGAGGGAAGGGAATTAATTGTGTCTGAGCGAGGGAGCGTGCGTTTTCATTTTCTGCAAAAAAAAAAAAAAAAATCACCAAATGTCAATATTTGGAATGTGGGAGTTACGTTGTCAGATGTTTAGAGAATATAATTATTGAAAGATTAAATATTCATCATGAGTCAAACCTGGACAAAAATAATGGGACCCCTAGAAAAGACTCTTACTCGCTTCACTGGTCTTTTTAAGCTGTTAATCAGTCAGCTGAGTTAAAGGGGTACATCATGTGCACCACAATAAACACGGACCAGAGGAAGCGAAGGAGAGCATTGTCTCGGGAGATGAGAACAAAAATTATAGACGAGCAAATTAAAGATGGAGATCGTCTTAGACCCTCTAAGCCGCTTGAGCTTCCTGTGACTACAGTTGCACACATTATTCAGAAATTTAACCACGGGACTGTAGCCAAACTCCACGGACGTGGCCGTGGGAGGAAAACTGATGACAAATCAAGCGAACGGATGATACAAATGGAAGATGATTTTGTGAATTCACGAATATACGCAGTCAATGTCTCATGATAACCCTCGCAAGTTAACACAGGTGATCCCCTGGCTAACGAGAGCGCCGCAGACGCGACACGAGAGCCCCCAAAAGTTGCGCTCCGAGAGAAGCATGTTGAGGAACACGCTTCTAAAAATAGCTGGAGCTTTTCATCAGATTTTGCATGGAGGCTCAAGAAGAAGCAGGAGTCCCTTTGATGGGGTTTGCATTTTTTAACACCGCCGCAGCATGCGCAATCCACGCCAGGGCTTTTAGTATGCAGCTGTATAAATTTGCTTTCATGTCATGGAGGCAGCGGGCCGGAGCGCGCCTGCAGTCGCTACACGCGCCGACAAAAGTATTGAGTCGCAGCTCCCAATCCGAATTGTCCATGCGTGCTTCCGTATCGCTCGGGAAATTAAGAAGGTAACCTTATCTTTCTAAGTCGCTGTTCAAACATTTACGCTCCGTTTAAATCCAGAAGGGAAAAAAAAGATGGAATTAAAACGTACTGCACATAAAAAATTAAAATGTTCCCTAAATTGGATAATTAACAATGTCAGCAACATATCGGGAGAATTTTTGTGCCGAGCTATCCACAGAGTAATATTGAATTTTGACTTCAGGCTGTTGACATTCTCAACATGAAACCGTCGCGGGAGAATTTTTGTGCCGAGCTATCCACAGAGTAACATTTAATTTTGACTTCAAGCTGTTGACATTCTCATCATGAAACCGGTCTAGATCATTGGCGCGTCACTCGGCAATCTCAAATCTTCTAATCTGTTGCCCTTTAACGGAGGTGTCATCTTTTGTGGGGTTTTTTTTTTTCTTGCGCTTGGAGTGGACATTGGGTAAAGTTACTGATGGCTGACTTGGGGGGCTTTGATAAAGCTTCCTGCGGGCATCCTTCCTGATATCTCTTATAGCTTTTATTACTCTTCACCTTTAAAGTAATATTCAGGAAACACCAACTGTGAGGCCATTTTTTTGTTGTTTTTTGTTTTTTTTTAAATAGCCAAGCTTGGCTGTGACTTTGCTTACTATTTGAGGAGATAAATAGATTAGATCCTGTTTCTACTTTAGCGACGAATGTGACACACAATCTTATTGTATTATAATGGATTTAAAATGGTGGATATTAACTTGTTGTTTACTATTAGAGCTCTTGAGGCTAACCTACTATGGGCTCGTGACATGATGGTTCGAAGCTGAACTTGCCGAAATGCTGTTTTCGTTATCGCCGGCGTCGTTGTACAACCATCAAATCGAGGTATAGCAATTATTTATACGTATGATATCACTACAGGCAAATAAACATGACTCAAACATCTCATCACAAGCTGCACGTCCAGCTGCGCGAGAGCACTGGTGTCTCTTAAAAGCCTGCAATGAAGTGAATGCTTGCAGTCAATGATTTCCGATGATTGTTTGTACACTAACACCTGTCATTGTGGTGTTCACTCAGGCTCATCTGCTTATTGATCAGTAGCCGCTAACAAGGTTGTTCTCACAGTCGGGGAGGGAAAATGATGAGCCCTCGTTTCTCATGGGGACCCGATCCACCTTCACTCTGTGAAACATTTGAACTTGTTCAAACAAACTTCCAAAACTCATTTGATCAAATGAATTGCAAGCAAAAACTGCACAGAAAGTACTGTGTACTATGTACATGCCTTGAAGAGGTGGGGCCTGTTGTGGTGCGTTTGAGATGTCTGGGTGTGAGCGGTGGCTGAGAGCAGCTTTTAGATGAGTGTGCTCATTGCATTTTTGTATATTATTGATCTCCCAATGTTGAATAAATTACTGAAAAGGTCATCGGAAACAGTGGCTCTCCTTTCCCACATGCAAGGGCATTACAGTAGGGATCCTGTTTAAAAAAAAAAAAAACAGGCTCTCTGAATGAGAGCTTCAGAAGATGTCCACATTCAAAGGCCTTCGGGAACTCCACTGGGCATCGTT